GTTGGAAAGTCTCCCCCCGCCTCAGACCTGAACTGTTTACTGCTCCCACCTCAGAGGATCTGCAGATTTATTTAAATATTTATTATTCAAAAGCTTCGAGGGGTAGAAACTGAGCTTTTCTACATCAGGTTAAAGCATATTTAAGAAAACACACAGAGATTCGGTCTAATTTCTGTGTTTTTAACAGGTTTAAACTCAGTAAACGAGCATTTGTCGCCCTCTAGTGGCCGTCAGGTAATTACATTCACAGACTTCCAGCTGAAATCCTCCCAATAAAACGTTGATATTTTCCTGTATTTCCAAAACCTGCATAGAGATTATCGACTAGTCAAATTTAATGCACAAAGCGGAAATAAATCTGATGTCTTTGTGCCTTAAATTTTTCATGTAACTTGATCTATTGTCTGTTTTTTGCCCGATTTCCACTCGGATCTCTGGACTCATTTGAATCTTGATGGATTTCAGTTTTTGGTGGTTTGTCTCAGAGCTGGAAGGTTGCTGGTTTGAATCCCTGGGTGCTTTAGCCCTGTAAGAACATGGATGAATAAACTGATTAAAAGACAGGGAGGGCAAAGGGAAGCAGGTTCAGGAGGTTTTCGGCCTTTTGTAAACGACGTTTAATGAAACCCAAAATAACCGAGAGTCTGCAGCGTCACCTGGGTTGCCAGATCTGAGAAAAACAAGCAACCACCTGCATGCAAAAGAGCCCAAAGAGGCGGCCCGCCTCATATTTATGAAAACAGGGGCCAGTCCTCATGTTTGTTATTAAACATGAGCAACAGGACACTCAGTGAGACCCAGGTGAGAAAAAAAGGCTGAAAACGTCCAAAGAAAAACACTGAAAGCTGCAGAAACAATAGTTAAAGGTCAAAAGAAGCAGTGACGGCTGATTTAGAGAAAGAAAACATGTTTTACCGTCTAAACTAAGCTTAAATTATTGCATTTATTTCCTCTGATGTTGTCTTCATCTATAAAAACATCATATTTACATCTAATTAATCTGCTCTGGGCCTTAAAGTGACCTTTAAATACACATTCACATTAAACTACCACATTTGATATTCATTTCAGGCATGAAAACATTCACATTTGAATTAAGCTGAAAATAAACAGTAGATAGATAGATAGATAGATAGATAGATAGATAGATACTTTGTTGATCCCCAAGGGGAAATTCAAGATGAAATCTACACAGACAAATTTATTTACACATATAAAAGGTTATAAAACATGTTTTTTTTAAATTAGGTGTGTAACTAATGTTTAAAATCAACAAAAGCCACATTGTAATCTTTATCTATCTGAATTAAGGTAAGTTTAAATGTAAATATGGTGCAATTAAAGCAACACAAACAGTAAAAGTAACAGTAAAATAACACAAAAACAATCTAAATTGTTCTTTTTCACGTTCACCCGGAGTTCCGGATACTTCCTAAACTGTAAGAACACCTGCTCAGGTGCGTGTGTGATGCACCTGATTGGCCCATTCAGTTCAAAGGCCCAGACAGGAGGAGGAGGTGGTAAAAAACAGTAAAATAACACAAAAAAA